AACATGGTAACATCTGGGAAGTGGGGGGGGAGGAGACGACGAAGGCCGCCAGAATAGGGGACACTCTGGGGGAGCCCTGGGATCTGCGCTTCTTCCTTTGGCGTGTCCCTGGGCCCCTCGACGGCCTGCTCCTGGCGGCGCCCTGCCGGCCACGCCCCGCTGCCGAGCCGTGGCGGCGTGATCTGCCAGCAGCTGCCGCGGGGCCCTGCGCGGCCCTGCCGGACACTGCTCCTGGGGGGGCAGCGTCAGGGGGGGGGGGAGCTGGCAGTACTCACCACCCACCAAAACCACCCCAGCCCAACCCGAAGGCTCAGATTTACCCTCGATTTCTAGTGGGGGAGGGGTCAGGAAACATCGAGAAAACACGCGTGGAACCAGTACCCCCCCCAACCCGAAATTCGGGTCTTCGGGTTGGGTTGGGGTGGTCTGGCAGGTAGCCAAGTATAGTGGAAGGAACAATGACATAAACATCAAAACTCGGAGGTCCGTGCGGATTTCTCAGATCCGTTTTGGACCCCCCCCTGGCGGCGCCTCCAGCACCGCCCCTGGCGCGCTCCGCGCGCCAGGGAGGGGGGTCCAGCGCGGATCCGAGTTTCGACGTTTTTGCCACTATTCGTTCTCCTATGGCAGGCTCCGGGGCGGATGCCTCGGCGTCAAATCATGGGAGCCTTGTGTGCCCTCGTAATCCTGTCTTTAGAGTGCACTAACGGCGATCAGCGTGTGAGAATCGATGATTCAGCGTCGACTCAGCGTCCATTAGCGTCGATTGGCGTCGATTTAGCGTCGACTAGCGACTAGCGTCGATTTGCGCCGATTCGCAAGAGCCAGCACAAGGGTATGTGAGGCACCCATGTGTTGCCACCGAAGTATGCATCGACCCCCGATCGCCCATTGATAGCCGACAGGAGTCCGATAGCCCGCGGCGCCCAGGAGCGTGCGCTTTTGCTGTCGGGTGCCGATCGCCGATCTATCGGCGATGTCGAACGTAGGGCGATATTCCCCCCCCCCCCCCCTGAGCCGGTCCCCCCCTCACGTCCCCCTAATCCATGAGGTGATCTCACATTTGCGTTAAGGCTATGTCTCGGCTGCGACTCTGCCGAGATTTGGGGGAAAGTCTCCCCTTGCGCCCATGATTTGTGACCCTATGTTCGCGCACTCCTGTCCCCGTTCCTGCAAACTCGAGGATCTCCTCCCTTCCCCTCCTGCTCCCCAGACCCCCGACGTCGTGATTTTGTCACAGCGTCGATCCCCAGAGGTCTGGACCCCTTCCCTGGGACCGGTTTCTCGTCCCGGGCCGCTTCTTGACGGTCCCGAGGCCCAGTAAGGGCCCCTGGAGCCCGCAAGTGGCAGAAGAACCTCGATGTCGTGATTTCGTCCACAGCGTGACGGGGTCTGGGCCCTCCTCCTCCTCCTCCTCCTCCTCCTCCTCCTCCTCCTCCTCCTCCGTGCTGCTCGGCACTGTCGCTGGGATCCCGAGTGTCCTCTCCCCCTTCTCACTCAGGAGAAACAAGAACACAGACGCAATGAATGGTCGATTCCCAGAAGCACTGTTATGGAACAGATGGAGAGTGGAGTGGAAGACGAATGTCCAGAACCTAATTCAAGGAAAGTATTGGGACTCCTTAGATGTGTGTCTATTTATTTGCGTGCCCCTTCTCGCTCCTGCCTCTTGCTTGTCCTGCGCGTCTTCCTTCGCCTGCTCCACCCTGCTCCTCTGCTCGCGCATCCCTCTCCCCTGCGTCATGGGAGGAGGAGGAGGGCGACGAGGAGGAATGGGGGGAGAGAGATGGATGACGAGGGACGAGGTGGGGGCTGAGGGTTATGATGAGCATGAGGACGTTGATTTTGATGGTGATGGTGGTGGTGACGACGACGACGATGATTCTGATGATGCTGCTGCTGATGATAAGGATGATGATGATGCTGATGATGATGATGATGATGATGATGATGATGATGGGATGGTGAAGATGATGAGGATGATGATGATGCTGATGATGATCATGATGATGATACTGATACTCAGACTGAAACCGAAACTGATACTGATCATGATGATGCTGATAGTGGCGGTGGTGGTGATGATGCTGATGCTGCTGATGCTGATGATGCTGATGATGATGATGATGACGATGATGATGATGATGATGCTGATGATGATGATGATGATAATGATGATGATCATGATGATGATGATGATTATGATGATGATCATGCTGATCATGCTGATCATGATGATGATGCTGCTGCTGCTGATGTTTATGATGATGATGATGATGATGATGACGATGATGTTGATGATGATGATGATGATGATGATGATGACGATGATGTTGATGATGATGATGATGATGATGATGATGATGATGGTGGTGGTGGTGGTGGTGGTGGGATGATGCTGCTGCTGCTGCTGCTGATGATAATGATGATGATGATGATGATGATGATGATGATTATGATGATGATGTCGATGATGATTAGGCGGAGGAGGAGGACCAGGAGGATGCGGATGAGGATGCGGATGTGGAGGCGGAGGACGAGAGACCAGGATGTGGAGGAGGGAGGAGGGATGGGGGGAAGAGGATGGAGGAGGAAGGAGTAGGAGGAGCCCCCTCCTCATCCTCTCCTGTATCTCCTCCCTCCTCTTGCTCCGCCTTCTTCGCAGTTGCTCAACATGAATACTAATCTCCTCCCTCTCCTGAATATTTCCTTGCGTGGGTCAGCCTCTCCCGCGTATCGAATGACCTTCGGCCCATCCCGCCACCGTGCCTGGCTTGTGGGTCAGAGGCCGTTAGGATGTTAGTTGCGATCGCGTGGTTGGCCTCTCGGTAGCCTCTGGGTCAGCCCATTAGCGGAACGCGCTCCGCTAATTTGAGCGAAGCGATGGAAATTGCTTGCTTCGGGACCAAAACGGAGCTCCGCTCCGCCTGTGGGAGCAAGGCGATCCTAATCATTATGTTCGAGGCCATTAGCGGAGCGGCGCTCCGCTAACCCGAGCCAAGCAAGCTCTGGACGCGTTGGCTGAGGCCAATGAGCATTACGGCACCTTGCTAATCGGGGCGGAGCAACTTTTGGCAGCTGGATGCCGGGTCCCTCCAAGAACCCTCAGGACTGAGGACTGCATCGCAGGGGAATGGGCAACGGACCTGAGGACACGCCCACTCCATGGCAAGAGGCATGGTGGCGGATTCCTCTTGCTGTATGCCGAAGCCAATATTTTGTCTTGTTTTGGTCTCTCCTTCCAGGTGGTGTTCCCGTTGCAGCGTTGGCCTTCCGACAAGGGTCGGCGCTGTGCCCCTGCCGTTCCGACCTGCTCTCTCACCACAGCGCGGGCCACACCTCGGAGTCCGATGCCCTCCTCGGCGTCGCCGCCCCCCCTTCCCTCTCGTCCCCGCCTTCCCCTGGTCCTCCTGCCGCCCACCGTGCCTGCTGCTCCTGCTCCTGCAGCCGCTGCTCCCCTGCCCCCTTTTCGCATCCCTGTCGTACGATGTTCCCACCTGCTTGAGCCTTGATCGCCAGAAGTTCGAGCACCAAGGGAGTATCGAAGCTGGAGGGTTTTCGCGCGTCGGGCCCTGCGAGGCGATATCATTTTGACACTGCTTCGATATGTTTCTGGTTGCTCGAAATGGTTTCTGGGGTGTGGTCCTCGTGCGATGGGAGCAACATAATTCTTGTCCACTGTTCAGGAGGGAACAGCACACAGACACCATTAATCGTCGACTCACAGAACAACATGGAAAAATATGGGATGTGGGAGGGACGACGAACACCCAGAACATATGCGCATCCTGGAGTTTGTGTCTATTTGTTTGTGTGTCCCAGGGCCCCTTGAACTGTGCACAGCTCCCCTTGCTGCTTGTGCACGGCACGGGCGTCTTTTCTGGGGGCTCCAGATCCGCCAGAGGACACCCCATCGAAGGACAGAACACAAGGTAGCGCGCAGTGGGACTTACAGGACTTACGGCCTTCGCGTAGCGAAATGATTGAAGCCTCCGCTCAAGCCATTGCTCGAGCATCAACACCCCTAAGCTCCTTGGCTAGGGGAACGACAAATGACATAAACATGCAAACTCGGAGGTTCGCGCGGACTTTGGGATCCGCGCTGGACCCCGCTCCCTGGCGCGTGGAGCGCGCCAGGGGCGGCGCTGGAGGCGCCGCCAGGGGGCCCCAGCGCGGATCCCAGAAGTCCGCGCGGACCTCCGATTTTTTACATGTTTATGTCATTGTTCGTTCCCCTGTTGGCCTTCGGGTGAAGGTCCCCTGCGACCAGGGGGGAGGAGGAGGAGGAGGAGGAGGAGGAGGAGGAGGAGGAGGAGGAGGAGGGAGGAGGAGGAGGAGGAGGAAAACGAGGAGGACAACGAGGAGGAGGAGGAGGAGGAGGAGGAGGAGGAGGAGGAGGAGGAGGAGGAAGAGGTCCTCTGCGTGCCTGTCGAGGTACTCCATACGAGTCTTGGACACGGGGCACGCGCTGGTGGGGAGGGGCGTCGACGCCTCTGCTCCCGGGCGCGTCGGGCAGGTCCCTGGCGTGGCGTTGCGCTCTGGCCAGGCTGGTCGGGACGGCCCGTTGCGAGGACGAGGGCTGTGGAGGAGGAGGAGGATGAGGAGGAGGAGGAGGAGGAGGAGGAGGAGGAGGAGGACGAGAGGAGGAGGAGAAGGAGGAGGAGGAGAAAGAGGAGGAGATGGAGGAGGCAGGATGTCAAGCACGGTGCCCGCGCGCACCTAGCTTGTGCCTCTCCCTTTCCCAGGTATCACTCGTCATGATTTTTCACAGCGTGGCTCCCCGGAGGTTTTGGCCCCTCCTCAGGAACTGGCTTTTTCATCCCGAGCTTTTTTTGGCAGTGCCAGGGCCTGGCAAGGACCCCCAGAGGCCGAAACTCGTCAGAAACATCCCGTCGTAATTGTTCACGACGGTAGGATGGCAAGGTCTCTGCGTTCTTCCTGCGCCTCCTTTACGCCCTCACCGCCTCACCTCCACTCCTCCCCCGTCTGCATGCGCCCAGGAGTGCCCGGGAGTGGCCTTTGCCACGGCGGCGCAGGTGCACGACCTGGTGAGGAAGACCGCGTGATGGAGGGCCGCCCCGGCCTCTGGCCTGCTTTCTGTCGCGAGCTAGGGCTGGGGGCCAGGGGGGGAGGGAAGGAGGGAGGATGAGCAGGAGTTCAGGAGGAGGAGGAGGAGGAGGAGGAGGAGGAGGAGGAGGATGAGACGAGGAGGGCGGAGGGAGGCGGAGGGCGGCGGAGGAGAGGGAGGAGTAGGGGGAGAGGGGTAGGGGGATGATTGGGGAGGGAGAGACGAGGAGGAACTGATCAGATGAGGAGGAGGGGGAGGAGGATGAGGAGAGCGAGGAGGAGGAGGAGGAGGAGGAGGAGGAGAAGCAGGAGGAATGATGATGATGCTGCTGCTGATGATGAGGATGCTGATGATGATGCTGATGAGGATGATTGTGATGATGAGCATGATGATGCTGATGATGATGATGATGATGATGATGATGATGATGATGATGATGCTGATGCTGATGCTGCTGATGATGCTGATGCTGCTGATGCTGATGATGATGCTGCTGATGATGCTGCTGATGATGTTGCTGATGCCGATGCTGCTGATGATGATGATTATGATGCTGATGCTGATGATCCAGATGATGAGGAGGAGGATGCTGATGTGGATGCTGCTGCTGCTGATGCTGATGCTGTTGATGATGATGATGTTGATGATGATGCTGATGCTGATGATTATGCTGATGATCATGATGATGATGCTGATTATGATGATGCTGCTGATGATGAAGACTGATGATCATGATGAGGAGGATAACAATGAGGAGGATGAGGAGAAGGAGGAGGAGAACAATGAGGAGGATGAGGATGAGGATGAGGATGAGGATGAGGAGGAGGTTGTCAACCTCTTCCTCCTCTTCCTCAGAGGAAGAGGAGGAGGAGGAGGCGGATGAGGCGGAGGAGGATGGAGGAGAACAGGATCATAGGATGATGAGGTGGAGGAAGATCAGGAGGAGGAGGATGAGCAGGAGGAGGAGGAGGAGCATGAGGATAATATCAACGAGGAGGCTGAGGACGAGGAGGAAGAGTCGGAGGATGAGGAGGAAGAGCCGGAGGATGGGAGGAGGAGGAGGCATACAGTGTGAGGAGGGTGAAGAGGAGGATTGGAAATGGGGAGGACCACAATGGAGGCGTTTCGAGGGAGATGCGCGGGGGTGGGTGTAGCTTCTTCAATTGACGGTCTTGCAGCAATCCGCAGGCCCAGAATGCCGGGATGCTTGCGGCCTTTGCTAACAGTGCGCAGGCCAAGAGCGCTGGGCAGCCCTGCGGCCGTCTTCTTTTTTGCCGTCCCGCGCGGCGCACGCCTGGAATAGCGCTGCGCCGCGCGGGAGGGCCTCAGACTTCCGCAGGCTCGCCTGGCGTCGAGTCAAGTTCCGCGATGGGCCTCTCTCCCTCCCCCCCACCCCCTCCTCTTCCCACTCGCGCCTCCGCCCCCCCCCCGCTTCCCGCTGCTCCCCTCCACTCCCCTCCTCCTGTCGAGGACCTCGGCATCGCTCGGGCGTGTGCATTCTGTCTCGGCGAGGACCATTGAGGAGCAGCCTGGATCGTCTCGCGACGTACAGGCGCACGACACCGAAAAATGCAAGAGGAATGGACGTCCGAACGATGGCAAGGGAAACGATCGCATGGATTATGGCGGGTGGATTGTCGATTGGTTCCGTTTCCATGCGAAGTCGACGCGCTGCGCCACCAAACGAGGCGGCGGGCTTGCTCTGTCGGGAGAGCTTCCTCTCCCCGATCCGTGGATCTGGCGCCCACTCACCAGATCCACGCATCCGTAATCTATGCCAGCGTGTGCCCGATCCTCGCCCCCTCCTTGGACGCATCCGACTGGAAGTAGAAGAAGGAACCGCCTGTGCTCAGGTCCGTCCCCAGCAGCCCCCCCAACTCCCAGTGCACAGCCCCCGTCCCCCATCACTGCTCCCCTCCCCTTCCTCCTACCGGCCTCCTAGAGGTTGACACCAACACCAATTTCGGCGGTGTGCCTTCACCGAGGGAAGAAGATCCCGATCTCGGGGTTGGTGGTAATATTCTTGCTTGCAAGGTGGCCGAAATATTACCACCAACACCGAAATCTAGGATCATCTTCCCCCTGTGGAGGCAACCCCCTGTGTTGGTGTTGGTGCCCATTTCCAGGCCTCCACCCCCTTGCCTGATCCTCCTCCTCCTCCTTCATATCTTGAGTCACTAGTTGCTGCTGATCCAGCAGCGTGGAAGATTCCGCGCGGCCCTCTGGAATTGAATGTTCATGATGCAAGTGTTCTTCTTCTTGCTTCTGTCGTCGTGCCCCGGGACCATCAAACATGGATCCGGGACGGAGAGAGCCACCCGCGGGCAAGCGGTTGGAATTCTGAGGGCCTCAGGTTGAAACAAATCAGATCGGCGGATGTCAGGGTTCTCTATATCCTCGATCCTTCTTCCCCTCCTCGCCTGACCTTCCAGAGTGCTGCAAAGTAGCCCTCCAGACCTACAGACCTATTTGGACTGCCTAAAATCTCGACAGGCATTTAGATGTGCTAGTTTTTAGCCCTCCTGAAAGGTCAGGGTCCCTGTCCTACATTTCAACTAAGTTAAACAGTGAACACGGGCAGCAGTATTCTAACAAACTTTCACGCAGGTAATGATGGTCAAGTTTACCGTGTGTTTGCAAAGTTACTTTCTGATTGAACTCTGTTATCTTTTTGAAAGTTAGGGCTCGCACCAAAAACGTTGACGATAACCTGGGGAAGACTAAAGCTAATCCTTGACTGCCAGAACAGTGCAATACTTGAAACAGAGAAAGCTAATTTTTGCAAAGTGCACTTTCCGTTCTCCATCAGTTTTGGTATGTCCGATTGTACACGTTTGGGTTCTTTATGGTTTAGGTAAACCCGAATGGCATTGCAACTACTATGAAACTGCATGTTTACATTTATCTTCCAGTTTAGATACAACCGAGAGGACACCGACACGAAGTTGTAAGAAGCTTGTCGTTGTATAACTTCATGTTCCGTTTGCTTTCTACTAATGTAATTGTAACTAAAGGTGAACCGACCTGATACCGAAATGAGACTGGAACAAAGCCGAGCCGACAACGAAGCAACGCTGGCACGACGCCGAAACGACGCCGAAACGAGACGAACCCATACACGATACCGAAACACAGCTGGAACAAACAGCGCGAATGCACTGCGAGCATTGGGTGAACGGCAGGGCTAAGTTGCGCAACAGACAGCTGTTTACTCTCCGGACGAAATTCTCAACTTCCACGGGGAAACATGATCAATGTTGTGCCATATTCGGTTCGATGATCCTCAGGACGTGTATTAGCCCAATGTGTTTTTATCCTCTTCAGCCCAATCAGTAGATCATTGCATCGCCTGGGTCGTGTCGAAGGGCCTCGAGGTTCTGAGGAGCATCGATCGGTTTGAGCAAGTGTGCCTTTTCTGAAAACTTCTGGTCTTTTCCGCGACTTCAGTTGTTTGTGCAAGATGGTAATCCCGCGAGGAGGAGGGGGAGGGGAGAAGGAGAAGGAGGAGGACCAGTGTGAACCCAAGAGTAACCAACGATGTTGGAATAAACCCTCCCCCCAAGCTCCCTCTTCATAGGCTCTTCTACGGTTCATTCCCACAGAGGGATCTGCCTCGTTGGAAGACAACCGTGTGAAGACCCTGAAACTTGCCAAAACATTACTCTCGGTATTCCAATGCCACGGATCAACCTGACTGTTGCGCCTTGACGATTAGGAATCGTGCCATATCGCCATTCCCGGGACTTCAACACCGCGAATCATCGTAACTGATGCGCTTTCACAATCGCGAATCCCCCCAAAACGCAGTTCCTGCTACGTCGATCATGGGAAGCCGTAAAACTCCTGCAAGTCGTTCAGCAATAATGTGCGCGGCGCTAAGGCGAGAGCCACATGTTGAAAAAGGGGTCACTCTCAATCCGTTAAACTCTTGCAAATGTATCAAACGAATGTGCGCTGCGCTAAGGCACGAGCTACATTTTGAAAACCATCCGCCCTCAATTCGTGAAACTCTTTCAGTGTGTTAGCAAGAATGTACGCGGCGCCAAGGCGAGAACCACATTTTGAAAACCGCCCGCCTCCGTCAAAACTCTTGCCATTTGTTTAACAAGAATGTGCGCGGCGCTCAGGCGAGAACCACATGATGAAAAAAAGACCGCCCTCAATCCGTGAAACTCTTGCAAGTGTTTCAAGCACATGTGCGCGGCCCTACGGCGAGAGGCACATTTTGAAAACCACACTCCCTAAAGGCGAGAACCACATTTTGAACACCAACCGCCCTCAATCCGTGAAGTTTTTGCAAACTTTGAAAACGAATGTGCGCGGCGCTAAGGCGATAGCCATATTTTGAAAACCACCCGCCCTCCTTCTGCGAAACTTTTGTCAGCCTTTACATTTCAGTGTCATACATGGTGAGGAAGTCTCAGGCGAAACGCTCGGCCCGCCCTAAAATTGGCCTCGGGGTGCGACTGGGAGAAGTTCATCATAAGCAGAAGGAAGTGAGGAGGAGGAGGAGGGAGGAGGGAGGAGGGAGGAGGAGGAGGAGGAGGAGGAGGGAGGAGGGAGGGAGGGAGGAGGAGAGGGAGGAGGGAGGAGGGAGGAGGGAGGAGGGAGGAGGGAGGAGGGAGGAGGGAGGAGGGAGGAGGAAAGGAGGAGGAGGAGGAGGAGGAGGAGGAGGAGGAGGAGGAGGAGGAGGAGGAGGAGGAGGAGGAGGAGGAGGAGGAGTGAGGAGGAGGAGGAGGAGGGAGGAGGAGGAGGAGGAGGAGGAGGAGGAGGAGGAGGAGGAGGAGGAGGATGCAGTTGTCATCTTTTCACAGTTTTCTAAGTTCGGTAATCTGATAGGTTTTGGGCCCCTCCTGGCCGGCTTTTTTCGAGCCGCGTCCGGCCCGCGCGCGCACAGAGGGCGCTTCAGGAGCGTCCAAGAGCACCTCCTGCTTCGGGGGGGGGTGCTGCAGGCGCTCCCTGGCCCGAGGTGCCCCCAGCTTCTCGCCCCACTTCGCCCGGGAGCGTCCAGGAGCACCTCCTCTCGTGGGTTGCCAGAGGTGCCCC